GGCTTAGTCCGAAAAACAACGAGACACAGGTGTGTCTCATCAGGAAACAAAATATATATGCCCTGGAAACAGCGAACCAGCGCGGAAGCCAGTAGGTGAATGCGTTTTGGAGGTGATAGTAGAATTCGGTTGGTGTTGGTACAGATTTAAGGATAATGGATAATGGAAAATGGAAGAAATAAAGGGTTACAGTTTACGGTTTGTGATTTGGATACGGCACGGACTTGTGGAACTTTATGGACTTTGGAACTCAGACTGGATTATGGTCTGGCTTGGAAGACGGACGAACTGGAGAAAATGGAGAAAAACTCCACGAAAAGTAAAGAAGAGAAGTGTGGTGTGAGTACTTTTGTCTCTATTACATAAACCTCTCCCCCGGAGGCACCACAACACACACAACTCCCTCTGACAAACTCAGCTTCTTCCTGTATTTTCCTCCTTTTCCGTCAACATACACTTGTCCGATACATAATCGGACACTTCCACTACTTTCTCAAACACTCAGTTAGCACACATCTTCGTTTTCTAAAGATTGACTTTGTTGTGTGTGAGGTAACAGCTCATAGGAGGATGCTTTTATTTGGAAATCCTGTGCATTTCTGCACGTATTCAGCTAAGGGAGTCTGTTACCTCCAGATCGAAATGCCTCTCAGTCTTTAGAGAGGACTTACACCGCACTCTTCACAGGCAAGAAACGAGATCTCGAGGACTCCCTTCCTGTATCCATAATTGACCATCCCCAGAACGCCAGTATTGCTGCTTTTGCCCTGGAGTGGACTTACCCACTGGGCTCCAGTCGGAGCTATTCTCGGATCTGAACATCCTTTAAATCCTGCAACCTAGTGCTTTGCTCTTTTATTATGAGGTGTGTTTGTTAGTGTTGTGCATATGTGTATGTTCTGTCATGGAAATATAACTATCAAGGAAGCCACAAGAGAGAGTTCTCACCTGAGTAAGGTCTTTATTTCAATATTGCAATATTGGGAGACCTGCTGCCACTTTACAAAGTGCATCAGAGACTCAATTTGTTACAAGCAGTACAGGGTTTTTATAAGATGTTGCACTGTAAAAGAAAGCTCAGCACTTTGGCCCTTCTAAAACTTCCCCTTTCCCTAAGACAAAACAGGTTACATCATAAAATGAAAGAAGCACCACTAGATTTGTTATTCAAAACGTATCAGTTACTTTCGGCTAATTCTAATGACCCAGACAGCGCATATTGTTTTGGTACATTGTCTTCCAAAGTAACCTAAACAGTGTACTACATTGATGCACTATTTTCTAAAATTCTGCACGTACTGTAGCACAGCAATTACATCCTTGAAATATATTTTCTAAAAGCACCAATATTTTTTGCAGAGCTCTCTACATTTTAAAGAATCAATTTACTTATTAGATTTCCATTTCAGTTCACAAACAAGGAAAATGCATAAAAACAAATATCATCTATGTCTCTCCTGTTCCCTTTAAAACAAAAAACCATGCCAATCCGTGCACGATCAAGGCATAGCTAGTCTCAGGACCCAGTGCGCAAATAAGGCCCAAACCAGTCCTGAATTATATGGGCAATTAAAGCACCACTCAAGCTTCAGAACTCCTGTGTGCAATTAAGGCCAAACCAGTTCTGAGCCTTGCGGTAAAGGTCCAAACCCCTTCAAAAAACTCCACGTGCAATTAAGGCATACACCAGTTTCGAACGCCTGTGCACAATACCACGGCTCGTTGCCTGCCAGACCAAATCTTGGGCTTACAGCCAGCCACCCATTACATACACCGGTGTCTTCCC